ATGGGGAACAGAATGCATATTAGGCAGAGCAATAAAGATGATATTAATAATGGCATTTGTCTTTCACAGAACACTTGTTATCTGCCAGATATCATATGTTTCACATATACCATCTCATTTGGACCTCCACAATAGGTCCATGACATGGATATTATAATAAGTACTTTTGTATAGGTGAATATGACCTTTGGAGAGATGAGATAACTTGCTCAAGCTGTGTGTGGCAGAGATAAGATCTGGATGTAGGTCTGTATGACTGAAGTTGGAGTTTTTATCTACCATGCTTAATGGCTTTCCCACACAATAACACTAGCCTATACTGTCTTTACATGAACACCAGAAGTTTGAAAAATAGGGCGGTTAGAGTTTTATTTTTTTTAACATTTCCTCTCTCCCTTTGCACTGGGAAGAAATGTGAATTCTCAATGGCCAAGCCAACATTGGTCCTCATAAGGCTGTAACTGGAAAATCAGTCCTTGGGTCGTAGGAACGATTGCCCCATGTGTGGGGTCCCTGAGGCTCTGCCTTTGTCTAAACTCATCATGAGAACGTGAATCGGGCATGTGTATGTAGTTCTATATTAAGGTAAATAGCTTTAGGCCACTATGAAAAATCTTCCCAAGCTTCTTCATTCCTGATTGGAATTCAGGAAGACAACTATTTTGTACCTACGAGGTTCTCAGTAGCTCGCGAGCCCACAGGGAGTTTAACTAAGCAGGCGAATTTCTCAATCTGTGATAGGCCATACCTATCCATATAGGTATACTCCAGAGGCACAGATCATGAGATCCTTCTAGAGCAGGACTACAGTTTGGTACAGACAGGTTCAACAATGTAAGTTACATTCTTGTGGTGGAAGAACAAGGGTGGAGGACCTGAAGATGCCTCTGTATTTAATTTGATATAAGACCTTGAACTAATCACTTTACCTCCCTGGACTTAAACATCTCCTTATCTTCTGAAAAAAGAGTTGGACTTCATCAGCCTCTCTACCTGCCTTATAGTTAAGCTGATGGACATATTGTGATCTTGGTCTTTGAGGGGAAAAATACCAGTCAGCTCAATCCTATGACATGAGTTACTTCAGGCTGACTGGAAGCTTGGGTTATCAGTTACAACTAAATAAACAGGAAAATAAATTGTTACATAGTAAGTGTAGTTGGTTTACTGACAATGTATTTAAGTATATAAATATAATTCTCTGGAAAAATAATGAAAGATGTTCTTGGTGATGAAGAGTTGGGGATTCTTTCTCTATTTCCTGTCAGAAGACATGAGTCTTCTCTTCAGTCTCCGCATGGCTGACTTCATCTCCTGATTCCTCAGAGTGTAGATCAAGGGGTTCAGCAGAGGGGAGATGACGGTGAAAGTGACAGAGATGCTCTTATCTGTGGGGAGGGCAGTGAAGGGCCGGGTGTAGACATAGATGCAGGGCACGAAATGCAGGGTCACCACAGTGATGTGGGAGGTGCAGGTGGAGATGGCTTTCCTCCTGCCCTCCCCACTGTGAGACCTCAGCATCGTCAAGATGACTGTGTAGGACACAAGCAGGAAGATAAACCACAGTGTGGTGACCAGCCCATTGTTGGAAATCATCAGGAGCTCAAGAGTAAAAGTGTCCCTGCAGGCAAGTTTGAGGACCTGGGGGACATCACAGTAGAAAGTGTCAAGAACATTAGGTCCACAGAAGGGGAGTGGGAGTAACAGGGAAATCTGTATGATGGAGTGGACAAAGCCCCCCACCCAGGAGGCCACGATGAGGGTTGTGCATCTCCCCCTACTCATGATGGTCACATAGTGCAGAGGCTTGGAGATGGCCACATAGCGATCAAACGCCATGACGGAGAGAGAAAAAATGTCTGCCCCACCAAGGAGGTGGAAGAAAAATATCTGTGTCATGCAGCTTGTATAAGATATGGTCTTTTTCTGTGACAGAAGGTCCACCAAGACCTTTGGAGCAGTGATAGAGGAGAAGCAGATGTCAAGGATGGCTAGATTGCGGAGCAAGAAGTACATGGGGGTGTGAAGACGAGATTC